GAAAGATTTTTGGGGAGGGGGGGCCAGGGATTTGGTACTCAGGATCTTGTGTTTGCCAGGCAGGAATTTATGCCACTAAGCTATCTCCTCAACCCCAGAAAAAAGATTTTTAAGAGGAAAAGAAAGGAGCAACAGCCAGGGAGATAGCTCAGTGATATAAGTAAGTTTCTACCCAGCAAGTGCAAAGTCATGAGGTCAATCCCCAGTACAAAAAAAAAAAAAAAAAAGCAACAGATAAGTGCCTAAAAAAATAAATCTTCCAGAAGTTCAGTGAATATCTGTTTTGTTTGATTTTGTGGTTTTTGTTTTAGTACACAGAGTCTTGTTATGTGCTCAGTCCGGCCTTGAACTCCCAGACTGGCCTTGAATGCTCCTGCTCCAGCCTGCTCAGTGCTGAGACTAGAGGCATGCACCACCGTATCTGGCCTGTTTCTTTCTCTTAAGAATGAAAAAGCTGAACTCAGCACAGTGGTGCATGCCTGTACACTTGGCATTCAGGAGGCTGAGGCACGAGGATTGCCATGAGTTTGAGGCCAGTCTGGGCTACTTAGCAAGTACAAGGCTACTCTGAACAAGAAGACTGTATCTCAAAAAAATCCAAAACCCCCCAAACAATCAGGAGAATGGAAGAATTAAATATGATGAGGAAGATTTCTCACAACAGTCTCCAGCGTACTTTGAAGCCTCTAATTAGATACAGCGCGAACCCCAAATAATGCAGAACAAAATGACACTCCTACACAAAGTCCCGTCTATTCTCTAGCCAAGTCCAACATTTGGAGATGATGGGTACTGGTCACAGGTAAGCCTACTTCAAAGGTGAAAGCAAATTCAAATGCACAACTCTGGGCCACTGGGGCCACTGAGGTGACGGGGCTGGAGCCTGGCGTACAGCTCAGTGCTCATGTCTGCTTAGCATGTGTGAGGCGTGGGGTTCGACCAGCAGTACTTCCATGAGTAAGCAAAGTGACAGGGCTGAGTAGACAGTCTCTATTCTCTTGTTTAATCTAGGAAGTCTTTCTGAACATCTAGTTTAAAAATTTTTTAACTTATTTATTTGGTATAGGGTCGTGTTATGCAATCCAGACTCAGCGATCCTCCTGTCTCAGCCTCCCCAGAGCTGGGATTACAGGCATGCACCACCATATCTGGTTTCGGTGGCCAGCTTGGCAGGCCCAGGGTTCTGGGACTGGCATGGCATGCAGTACCGGGACTGAATCCAGGTCCTTGAGACTGCCGGGCAGCTGCTTAAAATGCTGAGCTATCTCCCCAGCCCCTGAACAACATCTAGTTTTGTGAATTATTTAAATGATCCAAAAAGATTGCTGGGTTGCGTTAGCGAAAGCAGTAGTGTTGCTATTTTCTGCCACAGTAAAGCCATTTGGAAGCAGAGCACTAGTCCACTAAGACAGGACAGAGAGCAAGGACAGGTGGGTGGCATGGGGGAAGAGCCAGCAGGTGCCCAGGGGAGGCAAGACCTTATTCAAAGTCACATGGGTTTACACAGAGTGGAAGTCTGGTCAAAGTGAGAGGCAATGACCACTTGGATTCAAATGCTGGAAGACCCTGTGGCAGTGGCACTAGGGCCCCTTGAGCCAGGCAAAAAGGACAACGGTTCTGAAGAGCCATACTAATCCACACGAGTTTTATTGCTTTTTTAGACAAGTCTTGCTGCATAGCCCAGGCTGGCCTCAAACTTGCAATGATTCTTCCACCTCAGCCTCTCAACTGCTAGGATTATAGATATGTACCACCATGCCCAGCTCACGTGTGCTTCTGAGAATGAGAGGGTTGAAGAGACAGCTCAGCGGTCTAAGCATCTGCCTGGCAAGCGCAAGGACTTGAGGTCAACCGCCGGTACCACATGCCATGCCAGTCCCACGCAGAACTGGCCACCAAAACGGCATGGTGGTGCATGCCTATAATCCCAGCACTGGGGAAGGTGAAACGAGAGGATTGCTACGAGTCTGAGCTGCGTAGTGAGACTCTGTACCAAATAAATAAATAAATGATTACAAAAACAATTTTTTAAAAAAAGAGAATGAGAAGCCAGAATCATTCTCAAGGCTCTACTTTCTCTGAAGAAGTTATGTGGAAAGCTCCTTTCTAACTCTAAAATGATTAATAGCTCAGACACACTACCTTAGAACTTAACTCTATCCTTTAGCTGATAAATCTATTGTCAATGCTCAGAAGGACACCAGCTCCTCACTCACATGACAGCAGTTCGTTTTATCTCCTCGGTGATTACCAGGAGAACTTAGGGGATCCCTTATTAGCGATAGCCTGTAACTATGCTACAGTAAAGGTTGTTGCTTGGTAACTGCTTTCTAAAGGGGCAGGGAGGCTATGAAACTACTGAGGCCCCAATCTCTGAACATAAGTTTACTAATGGCTTCCTAATGAGGCCTCCCTGCACTGGCCTGATGGTGATGTGCTCACAACACAGCCCAGGGAGCTGCAAATCGCTGCACTGGCTGCACAGCTGGACCCTCCAAAGTTAGCGACCTTTGCTATAGAGCTGAAGCTTGGCTCTTCTATTTCTTCTTTTGCCTAACACAGAAGTTGGGTCCCCCTATAGTAGCAGCGCTAACACACCAGGGAACCTGTAACAGGACAAAGCCCTCGCTACTGAGATGGGAGGCAGAAAGGCTCCTGCAGGTGTTTGTCTAGTGAGCTGAGGAATTAAAAACATCTTAATTAAACCCAAGAAGAAACCCTGCAAATGGTTTATAGACTGCTAGCCTATATAGCCCAGTGCATTCTGAAAATGGTGAAGCCCTCAAGGACTAGCAAGTGCTGTGAGATTCTTGGTGGCCTGGACACTGTGTATTTCAATATTAGACACTCAATACTTCTCTCCTTCAAAAACTGTGTCGGTGGATTAAATATACCATTTTATTTGCTAAGATCAATTTTATTCTCTACAAATGGCTCTGGGTTATCCTTCAGAGGCTTTTATGCACCAGGCCATGAGATTTATGTGGCATTTACTATCTTCAGATGTGTTTAGGACCAAGCAGAGACTCATTAAAGCCTGCTCTTTTCTCCTTCCCTTGTCCAGAGGAAGCTCAGACAAGTGCTTGGCAAAACACACTTGAAGTCTGAGAGGAAAGCCAGCGGCAGAGAAGGGTCACACTAAATACTCTAGGGAGGCTGGGGAACTGACTGGCCTAGTGCAGGCCCCGGGCACACGCGCAGTGCGCATCTGACCCGAGTGTTGAGACAGCTCCACACCCCAGCTATCCAAGAATTCTCTCTCCATGAACCTATCTGTCAGAGATGTGTACATAAGTTCTTGGATTTCATGAGACTATTTCTGTTCATAAATTAGAAGCTGACAAAAATTCTAGTACATACCTGATCCCAAGCTAAGCATGGCCCCTCCATAGATATCCAGAGCCAGCTGAGAATAGGCAAAGCCAAAGATAGTGATGGTCAGGCCGGTCAGCAGGGCCAGCTTGAGCAGAGACTCCAACACTGTAGCAGCAACGGCGACGTCCTCCTGGGCCAGGAGAAAGGCAATGAAGCTGGTGAATCATGAGCTGAAGAATACACGCACATCTGGCCTTCTCCCTGCACTGATTTACAGCTCACCCAACTGCACCTCACTGCTTTCCCTCAGCCCATCCATCTTCGTTTTTACGATAATTAGCAAAGGAAATAAAAAAGGTAATCGTGTCTCAGATGACAAGAAAGAAGTTTAGTTTCTAACTTACTTAGGAGGAATTATTTTAAATTATATATATGTATCTTTTTTATTTATTTATTTGGTACAGGGTCTCACTATGCAGCTCAGACTCATAGTGATCCTCCTGTTTCAGCCTCCCCAGCACTGGGATTATGGGCGTGTGCCACCACGCCTGGTTCTGGGCAGGCATAGCATGCCCAGGGTTCCGGCACAGCATGTTGTACTGGGGAGTGAACCTGGTCCTTGCACTTGCCAGGCAGGTGTTTAGACCACCAAGCTATCTCCCCAGGCAAAAATATTTATTCTTCAATGGATAGCAAGTTTTTATCTAGGCTAGCCAACTTTGTAGTTTTCCTGACAAATGTCTTAAAATTCTGACATTACTGTCACTATACACTTAGGGAAATATTCCTAAATGAGACTGGGTACCAGATTAGCTCATTTTGAACTACTTACCATAAACTATAATTTGCAAAATATTTTCTAATACATGTAAGAAATATACCTAACTTGCTTTTAATTCTGAAGTGTTAGACATATTTGTTTTCAAACAAGTAAAAGTTTCTATAAGAAATTGTTGGAGGCCCGGTGAGTGAGTGAGACGACCCGGGGCCACGGGATTCTGAATAGACCCAGAGGGCAGGCCCGGCGAGTGAGTGAGACGACCCAGGGCCTGGCGGGATCCTGAATAGACTTGGAGCGCAGGCCCGGAGAGTGAGTGAGACGACCCGGGGCCCACGTATCCTCATTCGACCCAGGCTGCAGGCCCAGCATGGAACCCTTCAGCAGAACTCCCTGCAAAGAGGCTAGAGGCAAGACCCACCCAGCTGATTCAGGAGCAGAACATC